CCTTTGTGTGGCGGCGCGGCCGCGTGCGGAGCCCCCGGCGCGGCGCACAGCGGCCCCTGACGTCGGGCTCGGCTGGCAGCAAAAGGTGGTTTTAGCCCCCGACTCCCCCAAGCTCCTCCTCTGCCCCCCGGGAGCGCGGCCAGGCACAAAGGCAGGGCGGCCCCGCGGCGCCTCGGGGCCGGCCCCGCTGCCCGCGCGCCCCCGGGAAGCGGCTCCGCGAGGAGGAGCCCACGGGGGGCGCGGGCAGCCCCGGCCCGGCCGCTGCTCCCCGCCGCAGCCGGCGGTTTCGCTGCCGGTGTCTCTGCTGCCCGGTGCAAGGAGTGAAGCCCGAGCAGGGCACGAGCCCCGTGCCCCGGAGGCCCCTCTGCCCGTCGCGGGTGCTCGCAGGGCCCGTGGGTGCTCGCAGGGCCCGGCTCTGCCGCACATGGCTCTGTGTGTGGCACCGGGGCTCAGCTCACCTCGGGCGCCGTGCAAAGGCGTGGGAAGGGGGTGAGCAAAGGGATGGAAAGGGTGCGAGCAGGGACCTCCAGCCCCTGTGCACGCAGGCCCGATACCTCCTGGGGCTCAGGACTCTGATTCCATTCCCTCTGGTGCATCTGAGGTAAGAGGGAGCAGAGTATCTCCCTGTATCTCCATCAGCTCCATTTAGGTCTTCTTTCCTGCTCCTTCTGGCCCCTGGCATTGATGGACTGACCTCTCATGGTCTCTGCCCTTTCCATCTTTCCCAGTTCATTCTGTCTCCTGTGGGCAGAATGTTTTCCCCCGGGAGGTACCTGAAGGACATTATTTCTATTGCATTCTCTCGCATTTCATGCTGACTCAGGGCTCTCCACAGTCCTGCCCCCCGTAACCTGTGTGTTACAGCCTGGGGCTCAGCCCAGCTGCAGCCTTCCTCCTTGGTGGAAGTGATCATCACTCTTGGAGGTGATGATCTTGGAGGTGACCTCCTTGGAGGTGATCATCAGTGCATGATCACCTCGCTGGTTGGGGAAGGACCCTGTAGATGTGACTGCTTCTCATGCCCGCTACAGTATTTTCTCTGGAGGCAAAGGGGCCGCCGAACAGAGCCAAACCAGCTCTGTTCTTGAGTTACCAGCCAAAAGGACTGATGTGGTGCCAAAAGAATGGGGCTGTGGTGGAGAACCAAGTCATTTTTCCAGCCCTCTTGCTGGAAGAAAGCTGCTGAGGGAGCAGGGCAGCCGCAGGTGGGGCTTGGGGGGTGTTTTTTATGGGCTGCTTCAGAACCAGGAATCGCTTTCCAAGAAACTGCTGCTTTTTAACTCACAGTCTGCTGGCAGTTTCTTGAACACCTGTGGAGGTTTAGGTGACGGCCGGCACCACTGGGGTGGGTGATGTCCCTGCTCTGCACACGCAGAGCAGTGGCTGCTGCTTTGTTGGGTTCTGCAGCAGGGAGGAGCTGCGAGGAGCCGCAGTGGGGCAGGCAGGGCGGATCGCAGAGCACAGAGTGCAGAAAGTGGCTCCCTCTTGGTCCCTGGGGCCTTTAAACCAAAGGTGGAGAAAGCTGCAGGAATTAACCATGTGCAGAGAGAGGCATGGGAGGCAACGAGGTGAGTTGCTTTTGGCTAGGATTCAGTGGCATCAGTTTTGCAGCCCTCAGTCGTGGGGCTGTGATGAGCAAACCAGGGCCTCTTGCAGCTGTGAAAGAGCTGCCCGGGGAGGTGATATTGGCTGGTTTTCCTCAGCCTTCTTTGGGCAGGAGCCACAGAGACCCTGCCCAAGGCCCCAGCACAGAGCAGTCCAAAGTACCGAGAAGCTCACCATCGAGTTCTGCTCTTCTCCTCGCTCCTCTCCTTCCTCCTGACGTTTCTCGTCTCCTTGGTTGGGGATGAGAAGCCACAAGGGAACTGCGTGAGAAAGGGGATCATTTGCAGCACTCTCCAGCATGGCTCTGCTTGATTCCTTCTTCCCCTTTCAGAAAGACACAGAGCCTCCCCAGCTTAAATAAGCAGCAGAACTCTGTGTTTTTAGAAAGAGGCCTTATAGCAAGGGAAGGAGGGAGGGGAGCATGGCAAACCCAGGTGCATTTCCCTGCAACTGTTTAGCTAGAGGATTTTACCTCTAAAAATGTCAAAGCGAGGCAATTCATGGCATGAGACTCCACATTTCGTACCCCACTAAAAGCCTGGCCCTTGGGGCACGATTACTGCCTGGTGCAGTAGCAGCAGTGCAAGGACCCAGCTGTGCAAGGCAGCAGGTTTTGTTGCTGATACCCGGGCAGGAGATGTGAGGGTGGCAGGCACTGCAAACAGTTAACTTGGCCAGGTACCATCACCCCAGGTCTGTGTGGGTAGGGCTGGTTTTGCACGGCCTTCACGCAAACACCTCCCCAGGGGTGCTGTGTACCCCCCTCCCAGGTACCTCCAGCAGCAGCAGAGGGGTGTTCCCACAGCGTGCGATGCCAAACAGGCTTTTACACTGTTTGGTCTGATCTTCTGCATCTCGCTGCAGGGGAGAGATGGGGGAAGCTGAAGGTAGATCGCCCATTTCCTAACACCCCTCAGCAGAGCAATTGCATTTGGGAATTCTTCTCTCCCCTGCCATAAATTTGACACCAGGGCAGCTGGAAAACGCTCATTGCCATGGTTACTGACAGTCCTTGCTGCGGGGAAACGGGCCAAGTGCCAAGATGCTGGTCTGGGCACGGGCCTGCACTCAGCCTCCCGCTGCAGTCACACGTACATGCGGTCCCCAGGCACTGACCCAGAAGGGTTGGGACAACTTGGTGTGCATTTCACCCACTACAGGATCCCACTGTTAGCTTGGGGCAGAGGTTTAAAGGCCGAAGTCGATGAAAGGGAGGCTCTGGGGGTGGAAGGGACAATGTGCTGGGGGAAGGAGCTGCTTCTCTGCAGCCACAGAGGGGGAGACAGTGGTGACAGGCAGGCTGCCAAGCTGCCCTCAGAAAGCTGAGTCCATGGTATGAAGCCCAGACTGGGTCCCTCTCCAGCTCCCTACCACAGCACAGCAGGGCACAGCAGGCTCTGTTACCTCCATTTTCCAAAGGAATCTCTGAAAGAGAAATGGTCACGATCATCCTTAGGAGGCAGAAGCTGAGCTGGAAGCAAAAGAGCTCTCAGACCCCTCGCTCTTGCAATTGTAGCATGATCTTTCTGTCAAGAGATGGGAAGATAAGCCCAGCTGACACTGCAGTCCTTAGTGCTAGAAGCAGGAACCAAATGCTCCCCTCTGAAGCTGTGAATGAATGGGAAAAGCCTTGGCTCCTGCTCTTGCTGGGCAGGCATTTCATCCCGAGTCAAGGAATGGGGCTGGGGACAGCTGCTGTCACCACAAAAAAGGACCCTGGAGGAATTTGCACCAACATTTTGAAGGTGGATGCTGCTGTAGTACCCAGTGAATAGCCGTGCAGTGGGCAACCACTGGGCAAGCACAGCAGGCTGGTGGCTCAGCACTCGGGCTTTCAGACTCCTATGGAGCCCTTGGGATGCTGGTGGATTGTCTCCCTGTTGCAATAAATACTGATGTATGACAGAGTGTTCCTGAGGGAGGAGAAGGTCTCACTTGAGAAAGGTCCCGGATCCAGCAATTGTGCAGGGAAGAGGACTGACAATCTGATCTGGCAGGGAAATCCCCAGGGTAGTTTGAGCCTGTGGTTAAGACACAGGACCAAAGGCTTGGGGAAAAACCTTGCTTGCACCTGAATAAAGGCCCATACATACGTCCACACACTGTCCACCACGTTGTCATAGATGCAGAGGGCAGGAAGGAGGGAGGGGGGCAGGAAGGAAAACATTCATCTTTTTATTTCAATGGCAAGAAACAACAACATCCAAACAGTCAAAGTTGAAAAGCAATGGGAATACAGGCTCACGCCCGGCCGGGGGCCTGCTAGAGCCGGCACCCTTACAGAGTTACAAAAATACAGTCCTACGACAGCATCTAATCAACACAGAACCAGGTATTGCACAGAACCTCTGCCCTCTGTGGGCAGAGCTATGACCCCCCCACTCCACCTTTGCCTACAAACAAGCCAGGCTTGGAATTGCACAGCAACTCGGCTCACACGGGTGCAAAGGGGCCGAGGGGGACAGTGTGTGTCGGAACTACCTGTACAAAAACTAAGGGAATATATAAAACGAGGGAGAGGGGCGGATGGAGGGGGGCAGGCTGGGGCTGTAAACTCTTCCAGGCCAGGCTGGGTGTCCCGGATGGGACGCAGCAGTTTGTGTCCTCGCCACGGCAGCAGTGCCTCGTCTTTGTGGCGCTAGAGAGCGGCGCTGCCGGGCAATTCCGACGCTGCTGCTATATCCCAGCTCCAAGGCACTGGGATAGTGATGTTATTACCTGCTGATAGCACTGCTGGATCCCTGACAGCTGGCTCTGGGCTCCTCTCTGCACTGCCCTGGCCCCAGCTATGCCTCTCTGCCCCTCCACAACTCCTCTGGTCCTCTAAGGTAACTCCCTGACCCCTGCACCTACAGCCTGAACGAGACTGTGGTTCTCAGGGGTACTGTGAAACATTTTTGGTATTGGCATAATGAAAGATTTGAAAGGTGTCACCTAACACTACTCAGCAGCCACAGCTTGCTGTGAAGACTCACATCCTGGTGGAGCTCAGGGTGATGGTGAGGTCCACACAGAGTCCACAGGGCAGCAATGCCCCAACATCTCCTCAAGGGCCTCCCACAGAACACACCAAGCTGCTACACGACCCCCAGGGCTGTTTGCTCACCTCATGTGCTGCCACCTCCTGATCTCAGGGACTGCTGGTGCTCCAGGTCTGGCATGCTCCTGCAGCTCGCATTGTATGAGCAGGGGAGATGGGCCACAGTGCCCTTAAGCTCTCTGGCAGGTGGCACCCAAAATGTCATCCCACTGCACATGTGAAAACTCTGTGATTCCTACCGCTTTCTTTCTGGGCATCCAAATCCTTCTGCTAAAACATCAAGTTGGCACCCTGCCCAGGAAAGCTGCATTTGGGTGAGCTCCCACAGCATTCCCTGCAAAGCCCTACGTCCAGTTCTGAGGAGGATGGTGGAAGTCACACTTGGAGGCTGCCAGGTCACAGCTGGGGAGGTATGTGGGGAACCCCTGAGAGCAGCACGGCCCCTGGTGCTGCTTCTTCAGCCACGCATCACTCCTCATATTGTGCAGGAGCCGAGGCAGAGAGGGCAGTTGCATTAAAGACAGCTAACTGGAGCATTAAGGAAACATAAGGGCCTCCATGACCAAGGAGGCCAAGCATGTTTCCATCACAGCTACGGCAGAGTCAGAGCTGCAGGACGCAGCAGCCTTCCTCCGTGTGTCCGTCCTATGCCACACTGTGGACTGGCAAAACGCTGAAACCAACTTTAAGCAGAGGCTTAAAACAGCAGAGCCCCAATGCTTGGCCTCAGCTGCCCTGGGGAAAGGTTGGGCGCACGTGCTCAAATGTGCCAGGGACTTTCCTCCGGCCACAGTGCCCTAGTAGGGTAATACTCACAGCAGTTCCCGACCAGCAGGAGTGAAGAGCCATGCTGATCCCATTGGGACTAAGCCTCAGCTCCACAACCCCACACAGGGCATCCTGAAGCCTGCCCAGCACAGCCTGTGCCTCCCGTGGCTGTGTTGAGAAGGACAGGAGGAACTGCATGGAGGGGCCAAAGTGTCCAATGGAGACCACCCATGGGAGAGGGAGTCGAGCAACAATATCTCACAAGGGTCACAGGCAGGAGCCTATGGGACACTGGTATCCCATGTGAAAGGGAGACAGGACTTCACCTCTGCCTGCAGCAACAGGCCCTGTGTGCTGGAGCCCATCCACAGCAGGGAACGTGGTTGAGGAAGAACAAAGCAGGGACACACAAAGAGCCAGGCTTCAAATCCCAATACTCACTGTCCTAATAAATAGAGTTCTAGCCCAGCCTGGGGTAGAGCTCAGCTCTCTCCATGTCTTCCAGGACCAGGCCAAGATTTAGGGAGGGCTGGGACACGCTCACAGTTCTGCCAGTGCCATCCTCTTCTCGTCCTGCCCGAGCTGGCTTGGGCTAAGGCACACTGAGCACTACACAGCTGTCTCTTGGTCCTCCCGCTGGATCATCTGGTAGTGCTGTCGGTTCTCGAGGTAGGCAGCCAAGTCGGGGTCGTTGGCCTTCTCAGCCCTGTGCTTGGGAGTGTCTCCCTGCAAGGAGAGCGCAGCAAGTCAGGGCACTGAGCTGCCCTGCGCACCTCTTGACACCCAAGGGCTCCCTTTCCCCATATTCCCCTTGGGAGAAGGTGGTTCCAACGGGGGCCTGCAGTCCTCAGAGCCAGTCCCCAAGGTGGGTGATGTGCCAAGGGGGCTGATAAGGAAATCACGCTCCAAAGGAGTCCCCCTTTGCCAAGATTGGAAACAGTTCAGTCCCTGAAGGGAGAGCTCCCCTCGTGCAGGCCGGGACAGAACAGTCCGAATCTTTACCAGCCTGTGCGCCACACCAAAGCAGACAAAGGTCAGTCCCCGTGACCTGCTGCTTCTCCAGCACTGCCGAGGCAGGCGGGAGAGGGTGAGGAATGAGGAGTATGCCTGGGGAATGCCCGGGAATACCAACCCCCCTCCCCACTCGCAGCCTCGCTAGCACTCCCTCTCCCAGTGGAGAATCACATTTCAGCAGCTTATTGCAGCCATCTGGACTGTGTCCACTAATGAACTCCCGCACTCCATAAAAAGCAAATCTGTTAACAGCACTCAGCTACGTCTCCTCTCCCCCTTCCCTCCCCCTGCTCTTCGTTCCTCCAAGTTAAGTGCCCAGGCTCCGTGATGCAGAAGGAACCCTTGGCCAAGGCAACCTGGTTCTCTGCCGCTGCCATCGCGAAGCGGCCCCACGGCAAAGCAGGGCCTGCCCAGTGCAGCCAGGTGGCTGTGGCGAGGCACAAGTGCCCCCAGGACACACACCTGTATGTATCTAACTGTAAACAATGGTCAGATATGTGGCATCTCCCCCATAAATGGACACAGGCATGGGCAAAGCCTGGGCCCATCCGCCACAAAGGCGGAGAGATGCCCCAAATGCACAGAGCTCCCCCATGCCAAAAGGTCTGCCATGGGCACAGGGCTGCACCTCGTGGTCTCCCTTCTCTCCCGTGCTCACTCACGCAGCTAGCCCCCGTGTCAGCTCCGTTCACACACCAAGGTATGTGGTCACCCAGAGCCTTCCTCCGTCACACACCACAGCCTGGCCCCGTGCAGACCTGCCCCCATCCCCTCACACACAGGAAGGGGGCACAGAGACTGCTCTGTGCTTCACTGCCCCAGCTCTCCACAGGGGCCCCTGTCGCCGTATCCACTGAATCCAAGAACTTATTTAAGAAGGCGGGTGGGGAGGACGAGGGGGAAGGGATGGAATTGAGTTTCTTTTCTGTCTGCCTGCAGAAGCCCCGATGTGATGCTGCCTGCCCAGATCCGCAGCCTGAAACTAGAGCTCCTGGGGCCCCTCTGCCTGGCCAGGCTGATGCACACTACCTGATAAGACCCAGCCTCCCCTGACACTGGGGGATACAGAACTAGGCTTTTCCAAACTCATGCCCCAGGTGCGCTACAGGTCTGACCCAGGGCTCCTTCCAGTGGAATTTCTAGCAAGGTTAGTTCTTGCCTGTGCAGGCAAACAGTAACCTGGGGCCTCTGCAAGGTCAGTGCCGAACAACAGACAGGTCCCCAGACAGCTACAAAGCCAGACATGCAGTTACACAGGCACGTGCAAGCCCCATTCCCTGGGGGAGCCTGTCATTCCTGAACTAGGCTCCCTTTTGTGCTGGCAGGTTGGGGGCCATTCATCTGCTTCAGGCAGATGCTTCACCAGAGACCTGAGCTCCTGCCACAAAGAACCTCTGTGCTATGGGCACAGAGGGGCCATGCCTCTGGAGCTGCCCTCTCCTCCTGACTCCTGGACGTGCCTTCCTCACCTAGGCATTGCCTTCTCTTCCTCTGGCTGCTGGCTGAGCTGCCACCCAAACTATCTCTGCCCTACGGCTGCGCAAGGCCCTAGTCTTGGCCAGGAACAAGGAGGACTGATCGGCAGCCAGAGATTGTCTGTGCGATATCCCCCCGGCAGCTGGCAAAGGGCTTGCTCATTGTCTGAGACCCCGGAGCTCTACCAGCCCCAGCAAGTTTAGGTCCCCAGTTGGGCTCCTTCCCTGTGGCCCAGACCTATAGACTTAGCCTTCTTAGTTTGCCACCATATCTGCTCCACTACAGCCCATTAGCTAGGATCCTCTGCCAGAGTGACCCGGCCACCTTCCCCTCCACTGCATGTCAACTCTGGGAATCTCATGTACCAAACACAGATTCAGCCTCCTTCCTGCAATTCCTCCTGTGGGAGCTGGCACAATCCTTGACACCAAGGCACATCTCAATTAATTCAGCATGAGACTGAAAGCAGCCTGGCTGCCTGCTAATGCTCTCTGTGGGCCTGGTTCACCCGAAGAGCTCCCAGGCCTCCCATCCCAGCTCCACACAAGGGAGAGTGGAGGGAGCCTTGCAGCTGGGAACGAACTTGTCAGCAAGCCTGTCCTTGCTGTGACCTCAGAGGGTGGAAAGGGGGGAGAGAAAGAGATGAGACATTCCATCCCCTGGCTTCTAATTTAATAAAACAACACACACAGGAGCTAGGAGGAGAGGGATTTAACTCTTTATGCAGCTTGGGATCAGGCTGAGTGGGTAGATGCTACTGGGTGAGCATTTATATTTCACATCAGCTCACCAGGAATCACAAAGGGCTCTTCTCCTAGGGCTGCACACCTTTTCCACACACATAAGGCCATAAGCTGGCAAAGATTCAAGCCAAAGACCCAAGGAAAAGACCTGCTTTCTGTTCTTCTGTAGACCTAGTAGGGTACTACTCCCACCAGCCCCATGGCAGTGCCCATGGAAAGGCCCTTTTCCAGCCCTCCCGCCTTCACCTGCAGGTCTGTCTTCATGAGCGAAGCCCCGGCCTCCACAATGTAGTGGCAGATGGTGCGCTGGCGTAGGGCTGCAGCCTGGTGCAAACTGGTTTCACCACTGAGGAGAAGAAAGCAGAGGACATGTGACATGCTGAGTGAGATGCTGCCTGGGGATGTGCAGCACGCGCAGAGACACCAGCGAGGGACTGCTCGTGGCCTCCTGAAAGAGCTCATAGGGGGCTGCAGCTTGTGCAGCAACATCTGCTCCCAGCCCTGACAGCCTCAGACTGAGAAGGGGGGATGCTGGAAAGGGTTATTCAGTCTGAGAATGGGCAGGAAATGAGGGGTGGTAATTATAGCAAGGGCAAGTGTGTTAAAGAAAAAAAGCCAACAAGTCTGGTCACCTTGCAGAGGATTAACAGGTAATACAAATCACTCAACAACTTACTTCTCTTCTTCGGCAGCATCCAGGATATCTGAAGGGGCTTGAAAGAAAAATACAAGGCAAGACAAGTGAGACTAGGCTGCAGGACAGAAATTTCCACCCACCCATCTATACACAAACTATCCTTCTATAGGGGCTGCTATTTCCATGCTACCTGATGCAGTTTTTTCTCTCAGCCAAAGTATTCAGGTGAGCAACTGCACCCTCATCTCTCAGATGAGATCAAGGAAGAAGAATTGCTTGTGGGCACTATTACAGGGAAATATTGAAATAAAAATAAAGCAGTCTGCACTTCAGTGGGAGCTGCCATGATTTCCAATTGCAGCAGACAGATGCTAGGGAAAGCCTGTGCCATACAGGGAGGATGTAGCAAACCCAGAAGGACGGGGTTCTGTCCTCAAGGGCATCCTCTCTAAGCAGATTGTCAGGCTCTGTTGCCAGCCTCTCTTGCCAAGGGGGCACTTTGCTACCAGCAGGATGGCCCCAGCTCACCGTTCTCGATGATATATTTGACAATATCCTTGCTCCCTGACTTGACAGCATGATGGAGGACGGTCTGGCCTGAGCAATCTCGCACCATCAGGTCTCTTCCAGCCCGGTGCAGCTCCTGGAACTAGAGGATTGCCAGAGTTATGGATGAGTTTCCTTTCTCAGCTCACCTCTAACCCTAAAGCTCCTAGACTCGCATCTCCAGGATCCTCAGCAGGAGGACAGCTGTGTCCAGCTCAGCCACACTGCTGATCCTCCCTCTTGGCCTCAACATCCCCTGGATAGTCAGGGGGTTTCTTGCCAGGAGCCAGTCTGGTCCCTACCCACTGTTCACCGTCAGGGTGCTGCCATAAGGAAGGGTCTCAGCAGGAACAGCTTGAGAAAAACAGCGGAGTCCAAATGGCAGGACTTGCCACAGGCTCGGGATGCATCTGAACCAGCCCTGGGCCCGTGCCCAGAGGCAGCCCCGGCTGCACAGCACATCACACTGTAGGAGCACTTACCTGGCTGAAGTTGCCATTCTTGGCAGCTTCTATCAGAAGGTCATCTGCAAAGAAGGGAGACAGATCAGGGTCAGAAAAGCCAAGCTGTAGTGCTGTTTGTCTACCTGGAGAGTCAAGAGCTGGGGAACTCAAAGCCTTCAGCTGAGCTCCTCTAGGTGCTACCTCCCAGCTCTCAGGACAAATGGGAGGCAGGCTGGCTTTACATAGCTGCTCCACCTTCAGCTACGTGAAGGACAAGTGGTGAGGACGGAATGACGGAAGGACGGACGGACGGACGGAAGGAAGGAAGGAAGGAGACACCCATGTGGGGTTGCAGCCAGGCCTCAGCCCTGGTGAAGCAGGTGCATGTGAGAGGAGTTCCCCTGCCTGAGGAAGGATGACTGATGATGGAAGTGAAGAGCAGATTTGCAGGAAGTCAGTCAGCAGCCAAGAGGGCTCTCACCAGCAACTCATACTTCTGGGATCTACTCCGCCTCCAGGAAACTCTCTACATTTGCTTAGAGGCCCCTGACGTTGCGCTCTCACCTCCCAAGCACCTGCTGGTGCCTAGCAGTGACACCCTTCTCTGTCTCCAAACCAGCCAACAGCACATAGCTCTGTAGGTGGGGGATTAACCCCACTCTGCCATGTCATTTCCTGCCCTCCCCACAGAGCACTGAAAAGCAAGGAAAGTGCTTTGATGGACTGGTCTGCAAATCACAATCAAGTCTCTCCTTGCCCACCTCCAAGGTCACCCTGTCCCACCTACACACCAGCAGCAGGGCCTGCAAACTCCACTCCATTCCTTTGACACATCTCAGAGACAGGACAGGCCAAAAAAAAAAAAAAAAAGAAAGAAAAAAAAAAAAGGTGGTGTGGACACAAAATAACTTGACACCAGAGGATGCACAACAGCCTCCTAGAGCTGCTATATGCCTGCAGTAAGGACAGAAGAACTCACCTTTAGGAGGCAGGCAGAGCCCAGCTTCAGCACTGGAAGAGAAAAAGAGGCATAACTAACCTTGTCAGCACATCCCCCAGAAGGGCATGCACTGGGGAGAGGAATGGCTCTGATCTGTAGCCCTCTTCCAGCAGGCTAAAAGGCACGCGAAGGACCTAGCCACCCTTCGGCCACACCATCTACTTTTTCCCTGATCTGGGATCTTTCTCATCCTCACTTCCATTTCTACTTCTATTCTGAGCTCCAGTGCTCACTCATATTCAAGGCTGCCATGATTTGGGCCTACAGAGGCCCATGCCCTCTGCCCCATAGATCAAGCCCTGGAGCTTGACCCCTTACCTGAATCACCTGGTGATACTCCACTGCTTTCAACAGAGCTGGCAGGGAGCTGAGCAGACAAGAAGGCATCTGATCCCTGGTCTAACTCATCATTGGAATTATGCTTGCTTCCTGGGGAGCCCTCTGTAACCTTTCCTGAGAACTGCAGCTGTGAAACCAAGCCCAGCTCTCCCACTCCAGCCTTCCCCATCCCTCTTGAGGTCCAGCACTCTTATCTCCCACTTCAGTCCACAACGCACAGTCTCACCTGGGGGCAGGAGAGGATGGTGGAGAAGAGGAAGAGGAGGGGAATGCAAAATGGTGCCCACTGGGAGCAGAAGATGAGTCAACGAGGTCAGGCATGGCGGGAGAGGTGCCTGCATTCTGGGTGACCACCAGCTTCGGGTCCAGCACATAGAGCTCATCCTGAGAGATCTCTGTCACATAGTTGAGGTGCTCCTGGAAGGCACAAATCAGCTTCTTCAAGAGCAAGATCTACTTCTGTATAGCTCCATTTCCCATCCCTTCATATTCTGTGCTTTGTAGCCAGCCCACTAACTCTTCAAAGAGATGGTGGCTCAGAGAGTCACGGGCCCTATGCCTGGGGAGACCCCATCAACAGCACTAATACTGATGTGTAGCTGAGAGGCAGAAGCATGCTGTGGAGTCCCATGGAGCCACAGATGGCAAAAGGAAGGGAGCTGAATCTCCCCTCATCCATCCCCAGGAAACCTGTAATGACCAGTGTCTGCCAGCTTCCAAGGTCATGGTCATACACTCTTCCTCAGTCTTCACACCCAGGCTGGAACAAATGCTACCTCTGCTCCTCATGAGAGCTTGGGCCCCTCACCATATTCCTGCCAATGCCCAAAGCTCACCCCAATGATGCTTGGAAAATAATCACCACTTGGCCAGGATAAAAGGAGACCTCTCCTGCATCCTTGCCTCCCACACTAGGTAGGACTCTGCAGGCAGTTTCCAACCCAAGTCCCTGTGCTCCCACCTGCTCTCCCTCCTATTTCAAAGGGGCCTGGGAGGGGCTTGGGCAGGTCCTGGACTAGGCAGCACTAGTGACCCCAGGGACTGCCCCATCTCCATGGGGCAGGGTTGCAGCAAGGCAATGCAGGCCCTCTGCCCCAGTGCCAAGGGGAGCACTGGGAGGCACGGCAGTGTGGGACGCGAGTCCTGTGCATCCCTGTGGCAGAGCCAACACGTCAAGTCTGACCTGTCAGGACATGCAGAAGAAGTTGGGAGGAGGGGGGGACACCACAGTTGGAGGATGAGGCCACACTCACCTGTGCACGATCTATCCTATAAAAGCGATCAGCTGTGGTTGCTGTAAAAGAGACAGAGAGAGAGAGAGAGGGAGGGTGATTTAGGGGTAGGACAAGGCAGATGGCTACTTTCTGGGTAGTAGTCACTACCCAGTTAGTAGTAACTAGCAGTTACTAGGCCATTTCTTGTCCTGCACAAAGGGCACAGAAAAGCAAAGAGCAACATCCCAGCAGAGTGGGTCTGCTGGGACCCTGCTATTCTCTGCCTGAGGGGAAACACCTTGTGACTACAACCCTATCCCTTTGCAGCAAGTCTTTGCTTACCATCCTCTGGGGGCCTTTCTGGGGACTTTCAGGTGTTTTGGTGTTGCAGCTGTAACACAACACTACATAGAGTAGACCAAGCTCAGGGTTGCACACTGCACATCTCAGAATTTGCTCAGACTGGGTAAGTACTCTGTTTCAACGTGATGCCCGTTATTACAGTGCACAGAGAAACCGGAGCACTAAGTGAGGCTGAACGAACAGCAAGCACAGCCTCTCCACACTCTGGCTTTTCTAAGTAACATCCCACAGACCTCCAAAAGGCCTCGTCAGAACTTATGACTGCTGGTCACACCCAAACACACAACATCCAGTAGAGCCAAGTTCCTATTCCCTAGGATGGCAGGAGAGCTTCAAATTAGTGTCCAGTCTGCTGTTCACAGCCCACTGCCCAGGCACACTTCTCCCCTTATCCCTCTTCCTAAAATGAGAGATCTCCATGACAGGAGAGGAATTCCTCCAACAACACTGAACCAAGTGGCTGTGCTGTCACCAGGCCCACCCAGCTAACACTCCTAAGGCAGCAAGGAGGATCAGGGGACTTATGAGCACTACCCGAGCCGGGCAGGACAAGAAAAGGCAGAGTAGCAAGGTATAAATAGGCCCACAGGCACAGCGGCATTTTTTTCTTATGCCCCTTTGCTGCTGTGCCTACCCCAGACAGGTTCGGGTGGGATCCCTGAGCGTCTGGGGAATTCTCTCCACAAACAGAATGGGAATGGGGATGACTGTGACACAAGCCAGAGCAGATTAGAGAAGTGAAAGATTGCCATTCATCCTGCCCCAGCTGGAGATTTATGGCCATGGATCTGCAGATGAAAGCCTATAATTCAGCCACTTTAATGAGTCCATGCTGTCTTGAATGAGGCTCTGGCTTCTTTCCTGATACGTTTTCCTGAGCTCAGAACCTGTTGCTGGGAGACTGGTATGAGGAAGGAAAACAGTCCTGGTAGTGCCACCTGGGAGCAGTAATCCCATGTAACGTAATCCATATGCATGGACGAAGGCCCAAAGCAGAAGCCGCACCTTTTCTGCCTGGCCCAAGGCTTGCTGGGCCTACCACGGACCCACCAGGGTCTCAACACATACCTGAGACCTGGGGTCTCAGCAGAAACACAGCATCTCTGTTGAGGTGAGGGAAAAGGCCAGTTTTCCCTGCTGACCTTCTACAATCCCTGAATCATAAGCCTTGTGCTCCAAAAGGCCTTAAGCGGGACAGCTATCAGCAGCAAAGATGGGCCAGCTCAGCATGGTGCCCCCTGCCTCCCCTCTTGGCTGCTCCTGCATATTTAGGGACTCGCTCCAGCATTGCTAAGACAGCACAGAAGCCTTCTCTCCCCTAAGCTGTGAGGGAAGCCCAAGGAGTCAAGAGAAGCCGGCGGGGAAAAAATATATATATATACCTCCGGCCATCACCTAAAATAATGCTTAGTAAGTGAAGCAGTGCTAACCTGGAGGTTTGGGGAACAAAGTGATGGCCGTAGTCACTGTTCTCGTCTGGCTACCAGCTACAGAGAGTAAGAGGTCTGCACCCTCCTGGTGAGGGCAGGCAAAGAAAGAGCAGAAAGCTGTTTTCAGGAGGCGGGGAGAAGCAGAGTGCCTGTTCCAGGCAGGCAGAGTCCAGCTGGGGACCGGCCTCCCCATTGCACCGGGCCTCCCCATTGCACCCACCATGGGAGCTTTTGTTACAGCCTTGTTATATATCAGAACATGAGGGCCCCCTGCCTGTATGACACAGGACAGCAGCCAGGGCACTCGAAGGAGCCTGACAGGCTGCAAGGCTGCAGCTGTGTGTTCTCTACTGGAGGCAGGTGACCAGCAGGTACCGCTCGAGGGCCTTAAGCAGGAGCACAGCTAGTGCCTGGGTCATTGAACCAGCCAGCTTGGCTGCAGAGATCCCAAACATCCCTGAGTCCTAAATCTCAAACAGTTCTCACCGGCTTTTCACTGTGGGTCTGTCTCCTGGCCCCCGAATTTGCACAGTCAGCACTCAAGAGGGAAATGATACTCACAGTCCAGGAAGCACCACTTGGGAGACAGCTTTTGGGATGACAGAGTTTTTGGTTTGGCTCCATCCCCTTCCTGCACAGAAAGGATAATCAAGTTATGTCTCCTGGCTTCTCTGCCTCTCCCCAAGCTGTCCCTCCTGCTCTGGGAGGTCCCTGCAGACTCCAAGGGCCGCAGGTGCTTGAAGAGAAAGAGGAACTTTGAATACAGGCACAACATATGGTAACAAGGAGCAGCACAGGACACTTCTGAGCTGACATGCACCAACTCACTGGAGAGGTGCCACAAGATGAGCCCACAATACCAGCATGGTGCACATGACAGATGGCCCTGGTGGAGGGAGACAGGCCATACACACCTGAAAGAGCAGGCATCGTAAAGCAGAGGGCTGTGGAGAGAAATCCTGCAGAAAGGCAAGGAAGGTGTTGTGCCGTTACAGGTTTGGCTGGGTCATCCCTTCCCTCTTCTGTCACATAGGGGCTTCCTCTGTCCCCTTACAGAAGATAGGGCAGGTAGTTCCCTCACTTTACATGGTGCCAGGTTGAGATCCCAGCCTTGCTTTGCTCTGGAGCCAGAGCACTGTGTTTGCTCAAGGACAGAGGAGTGAAATGAGAGGTAATCAAGTCACGCCAGTCTCAAAATGCAGCTTTAGAGGCATCTACCAGGCTGATGCCACAAATACACACACAAAAAAATACTACCCTCTCAGTCCAAGAGCCTTCTAGCCTCATGTCTGGCTTGGTCTCCCCACCAGCGCCCTGGGCATACGTAGGACAGGATATGGGACAGCAGAGCAGACAGAGCAAGAAGCTGGTGCCAGTAAGCTGGCCAGGCAGCAGCTCCATAACTCAGCTCTGCAGGAGGCTGCACATGTGTGGAATGGGATTTCCTCAGCCTCCAGAGGCAGTCAGTTGTGGACTGGGCATGATCCCTAAACCTTCTGAGACAGAATGGATTGTGCAGCAGGACTCACTGTGGGCTCAAAAGGTGCTGCTCACCAGGGCTAGTGTCACACAGCCCATGTCTAGGTCAAGGACATGCACTACACTAGTACACGGGTAGGAGCACGAAAGTTCATTTGCAGTTCAAAAGTTCACCTGCAAATGCAGAGAGTTAGAGGGGGGAACAATTTAACTGAGCTCCCAGAAAGAGGCAGAGCAGTGCCAGGAAACACAAAGCCCACAGAAGGCTGAAGGATGCACAACGTAGCAAACAGAGAGAGGAAACAGCTCCCGGAATATGTGGGATGGGACAGGCCCTTGTGAAATAGGTACTGGCTGTCAGAGGGAGATCAACAGGCCATTCAGTTCAAGATCCTACCTCTACCATGGGTTGAAGGAAAATGGGGAGTGCTATCAGAAGCAGGAATATGTATGGATGTGTGAAGGTCATTGTGAGGCCTAGAAATCCCTTCCCTGAGCCTCTTCATCCCTGTCATCCAATTGTGGCAGCTTCCTATATGGCAGCTCACCTCCTGCAGCCTCTCAATTTGGGTCCGGCACAACTCCAGGTCACTGTCTCCTGGAACCACAATGATTCCCAGTGGCACAGCTGTAGGACAGGACAAAGACAACTGAGTGAGCAGCCCATGCCTTAGTTCCAACACCTCTTACAGCACAGCTGAGGGCTGGACTTGGCAACAGTGGCTCCCACAGCTACTCAGCTGGTCACTCACAGGCTTCCTTGAGCTTTTCCTTATCGTAGTGCAGTGCCTCATAGTCACGCATGCTGATTCGGCTGACGCGGATGCGCAACCGCTCCGGCACCGGCTGCTGGCTGAACATAGAGGGAAAAGGAAAAAGGAAGATACCAGAAAGTGACAGGCAATTTTCTTCCTACTACCCTCCTTGTACAAAGGAAGGATGAAGGCAAGAGCACAGAGTGATATGAGGAGCTGCCATCAGCAGCTTCATCAACCTTACAGTTTGGCCACATTTCTGTAGCCTAATCCCTTCCCACTTGCTCCATGGGAGGATCAAAATGCCTCTGGGAGGGACAGATCAGTCCTGTCCCTTCCCTCTCTATCCCTTTTGCTTTAGAAAGGAGGTGATAGGTTGGTCTGAGGAACCTACTCATTGAGCAGAGGCATAGAGTTGCGCCGCTTGGTCTTCTGCACCATGTTGGCCTGGTTGCGCAGCGAAATGTGGATGCAGGAGGCTGCCAGCTTGCAGGGTTCCCCATCCACCTGCATGGGGATGGCCTTGGATGTGGTGAGAACCACCTGTCGGCACTGGCACAGGCGCTCCCCATGGCCACCCACCTGCAAGGCAGCCTGTAAAAACAACCAGAGTGAGAAAAGAGAAAATACTGAGGAGTGGCTGGGGAGAACATCCAGGGTCAGACAGATGTCACAAATCAGCTGAGTCCTGGAGTTTCAAACCTCTTCTCAGTGAGAAGGACCCACAGAGACCAAAGCACAACAGCATCTTGTCTAAAATCTTAGAAAACAGATATTGTCAGACCTGCCAGCCCCGTAACTCCTCAACAGAAGGGGACCAGAGGCACTGGATGACTCTTGGCCAATGGGAACAGTCGTTCCCTAGTTGCTCACGACTTCCATCATGCACACTCACCAGGGATGTCATGGTGAAGCCAATAACTTCAATACAGCCATCATCATGGCGCTGTGGCTCAAAGTCATGGTGCTCCCCAGGGTTGCCCCAGGGCATGGTGCCTGCACAGTACCTGTGGAGGAACAGTGGGTGATGCACAGTTAGTCCCCATCTCCAATTCTATGGAGATCTCACAGATGGGGCTGAGGAATCTGGCACAAAACCACGGGTCCTGTGGCTGCTCACCTGGGAATGTTGAGGAAGACCAGGCATTGGGGCTTTAAGTCCTGGATCTTGGAGGTCAGGTCTGTCCCATCACACTGAAGACAACAAAGGTATATTCAGGCCACTGTACTGGAGGAGTCTGGCTCACACTACCCACTAGGAAGGAAATGGACTCCCCTTCTCCTCCTCCAACAGAAGGTATCCATTCTTGAACACAAGGGAAGCCAATGCCCCAAGGAACCCATCCTCACTCCTTGCCCAAGATATTCAGCACAGTGAGAAATACAACTCCTTTCCTGGTCCACAATCCACCCCCCTCCCTGGCCCTGAGCACTGTTCCATACTCACAACCAACTTGACATGTTTCGCTAAATCTTTGGAGCTCCCCGTGAGGAAGTCAGAGAAAGCTGTCTGCCAAAGAAATAAACATAATTTGCATTTAGAATTCGCCAGACAGTCAGGAAAACTGTCACACAGGCCTTTAGACCTCAGTACAAAGGGCAAATCACCTTGCTGTCCAATGACAGCTCCCCCCCTCTTAGAACAATCTGACCAATTCCCCTGCATAGCCCAGTAGTTCCTCACCCACCTACTCCTGACTTTACGGAAGAGCTGACAAGGTGGGACTTCTCCAGTAAGAGCCTGGAGTCACAAGAGACAAGTTCAATATCAAGCTATGTGGAAATACGATAAAACAGGACTGAAAGGACTTCATTTAGAGATACCAAGAGAGTATCAAGAGAGATTGCATGGCCTATGTTACACAGATCCTAGAGTCTGTCTCCTCTGTGTTTAACTGTACAGAGAGGAGAGGAGATGCAGACAGGAGAGATGTGATGCAGTGCAGGCAGCACAGTCTAGTCGACCACCTGGGTAGAAAGGTGCACCAGGACATATGCGTACGTGGACACCAAGACTCAAAGCTCTAGAAGTGAGATGCAGGAGGGTGACAAAATTAGTCAGGGAGCTGTAATTGGCCTGAAGGATAAAATAAAAGACTTAAGTAATTTGGGGGCTTTTGGGGGTATACAAAGGCTTCCTTTTTCACAGCAGGAGGGTCATTCTGCCTCCCCTCAGCTCTAGGGAGGTCCTGCTTGGATGACTGTCCTTGAGAACAAGAACAATAGTGGAAGGAGATGAAGAGAGGGACTGTACTGCAGGTCAGAGAGTAAGCTGTACCACCAGCAGCATTCACTGTCAAAAAAGCAGCTGCAGGTGCCAGTGCTGTAGCCTTATTGCAGCATCTCACCAGCTTCAGCAAGACAGCTCAGCTTGGGCGCACATAAAAGCACATTTAAGTCAGAGAAATGACTTAAGGGTGTGGACAGGATGGAGTGGAGCCACACATTTTGTTTAAGTTAAGGCTATTATGAATGCATGCCCAGCTCCTCAGCACTGAAATACTCTTCAGGTACTCACCCCAGCATAGAACATTTTATTCCGAAACCGGCTGTTGAATTTCTCTGGATTTGCCTCTAGAGAAAGGAGAAAAAAAATCCAGGTCATTTGCCTGCATGTGGAAATATTTCACTTTCCTGCTCTCCCTTGAACTCCACACTGCAGCCAGTGTCAGCCTGAACACAGGTCACAGCTCTCTTCCCTTGCAGAAACCCATCTCCCTGCTCTAAAGTCTCCACTCACTCCTCAGATTTTCTGGTCAGTGCTTCTTGTCTGTATTCCAACAGCTAAAGAGAAGTTTACCTGCCCACCTCTGTGTCATCCCATCATATTTTGTCTTGGCTCTGCCAAACCCACCACATACCTCTAGATTCGTGAAACTCCAGCGTCACCCGCGCATCAAAGCCAAGGCTGAAGTAGTTGTTAAAAACATCCAAAGGAAGCTGAAACGGAAAGAAGGGGTCAGACAGCTGCTTGCAGGATGAGGTTGCCACTGTGCAGCCATGGCAAAGCATAGGTCATGCTACACAAGAACCAAGTACTGCACTGATGTGGTTTAGGGAGAGAGGGGTGCCTTCTTCCCAGGGAAGGCAGTCTGAAATGACAGACTGGCCTTTTTCTGTCACTCTTAGTTCAGGGGTCTTGTGGCAGCCGTACAAGTCCCCAGGGAGAACATGGCAGTACCCAGCCATAGGGATCACACAGGATATGGGAGTGCAGTATCCCATTTAACCCCTGCTTGGCAAAGGTGCAGGCATCGGACAACTGGCCAGTATGTCCAGGTGAAGATCACTCTAAGGGGACATACTCTGCTCCCTGAGATAATTTCAGTAATTCATAGAATCAACCATCCGCTAAAGAAAAACCATGAGGGGAAACGGGGCTTGTAACTTCTGAAAGTTGTCATTAAAAAACCTTTAGGGATATTCAGGTCTGATCATTACATGCCTTACGACATGACAGCAAAGTGAATGAGAAGCGTGAGGAGAGATTGCAACTGGAGCAGTGAGAGCACAAAGGCAACACACTGCTGTACCTAAACCTAACCATAGCCGGAAACAGGGGGTGCATAGGCCTAATGCTAGCTAAATGCCAAATATGGTCCAAGGAACAGTCCACATAGCGTCCCATATTTCCTTTTGCAAGTGGATTCTAGTGCAACACCCCATGGGACTCTAGCCTTTCTCTGTGGCTTAACCCTAACCCTAGCCC